CCTGATCCTAATTCCCGCTGAGTGGCATGTATAAAAGAGAAGGACAGATGTGGAGATGGAGTCACACAGAGGGAAGACAGATGCCATATGATGATGGAGGCAGATGCATCTATAAGCAGCAAAGGAATGTCAGAGACCACCAGCAGCCACCAGGAGCTGGGAGAGAAGCGTGGACCAATTCTCTCTCAAAACGTTCAGAAGGAATGGACACGGCTGAGACCCTGATTTGGACTCCCAGCCTCCAGAACTATGAGACAATACATTTCTCTTTTTTAAAGCCCTCCACTCTGTGGTATTTTGTTATGGCAGACCTAGGACACCAATGGACAAATCAAGACATCTTAGGGTTGGCAGGCACCTGGCACTTCACCAAAGGTGCAGAGATGGGAATTGCCCTGATGAGAGAAAACACTCTTGGGAAAGGAGTGGCACCAGAGGGACAGGTGGCGCTGTGGGCAGGTGGGCAGCTGAGAGAGAAGCCGCTGTTTCTCTGGGTGATGCAGAGCAGCTGCTCATGTGCCAGGCCCCTCCTAGGTCTCCAGCCCAAGGAGGGGTTTGTGTTGAGAGTGATTAGTCGCAGGGTGCATCTGCTCCTGCCCTCCCTCTGGGGACTAGCACACTTTCTCCTCCCCATCTCCCACCCTGTGCGGATATAAAGCGAAGGTCAGAGTCCGACCAGCCACGCTAATCTTGCTGCGTGTGGGGATGCCCCTCGGCTCCCTGCACTCTTTCAGCCTCTCCATCTCATCCTCCCTCTCCTCCACGCCCTGCCCACTGCAGCTCCAGAGTGCCCTGGTCTTCCCTCTCTGTGACGTCTCCCACCTCCGGTCCTGAATCTCCCCCCTCTCCACCCATCTCTAAGTCTTCCCTTTCTTGGAGCCCAGGTAAGAGCAAGCCAGGTATTTGGGGCTGGGGGTGGGCAGAGGAGAAGAAGGAATACGGAGCAGAGCATGGACACAAGGAAGTCCAAACACTTCCGACCAGGTTTGCCCAAAAGACATACCTACGAGAGAGATGAGTATTCAAGCCCATGCCCGCATCCTCCTTGATCGTACCAATGCCCCATCTCTGTGAGTGTAGAGCACATAGTGCTCAGTCATGCCAACTGTGGACCCTTTCGTCCTCAGTGCATGAGGAGGGCAGGGAAGGGGCAGCTAAAGATGGAGGGCTTTCACGCTTTGCTTCATGGTTACTAAATGACTTTGCCCAAAGATGCCTCTCCTGTCCAGCTTTCCCAGCTGAAAATGGGAGCATCCTATCTTCCTCTCAGTCAACAAAGGCTTTCCAGTGACATTCTGTTTCTATAGAATAAGATGTAAAAGTAGACTTGAGGAAAACACTGTTTCTCCAACTCTTAGAGACAGAAGAGAGCATCGGATAAGATACTATCCATGAGTATTACCCAGCTCCACAGACACAAACACTTGTCCACTGAGAGGAGCAACAGAGGAAAGGTTCCATTTATCCCCCCTGGCCTGGCCCAAGGACCAAATTCCAGGAAGATACCACACCAACCCAGAGGCAGCCTTTGCAGACAGCCTGGCTCATCCAGAGCTGGCCCTCAGTTATCCTCATTTTTTGCTTTCTCAGCCACCCCAGGGGTCTGTGGTGGAAACTCAGGGTAGGAGGTAGGATAGTGGGAGAGGGTCTCATTGGAAAGAGCTCGTAAGCCAAAATTGTCTACATGGCTCCCAAGGGTGAAGATTTCCAACAGCCCTGTGGCTCTCTGAGCCTCTGGAACACCAAAGATATCAGCAGAGCCCCCCTGCAAGTGGCTTGCTCAGGAGGTCAGTGTTTTTTCCACCACTGCATTTACTGTTTTAGTGAATTATGAAATGCCTGGATGGTATCGAGGCAGCCGTGGCATCCTCATCCGAGCAGCTGCCTTGCCCCATTGCTCAGCCTCAGCTCTCAGTCTCTGGCCAAAATGAAGCAGAAAAGCACCTTTTAGGAGGGAGCTCTTTGGGATGTTGGAGGGAGCCCTCTTGGCTGTTCAGTAGCCCAAGATGTAGTTTTGAAGTGAAAAATATTTTCACAGAGACTAAGACAGACTACTGGAAAATGACAGTTGATATTTTTTTCATTTTTTTTTATTGTGATAAATAAATAAGTAACAAAGCATTTGCCATTTCAACATTTTTCATGTGTATGATTCAGTGGTAATAGTTATGTTTATCATGTTGTTCAGGCGTCACCATCATCCGCTTCCAAATTTTTCCATCACCATTAACAGAAGACACTAGTTTTCCTCTAGAACAAAGACGCTAATCATTTCAAGTAGAGAAAGTGACTGACGCTCAGCCTGGAACGCTTTCCCAAACACAGCAGCACAATGACTGTGCATTTATGTGCGATGAGGTTGACCTTCACGGTCCCAAAACTGGGGCAATCTCTTGATGTTCCACATTAAAGTACTTATTTTTGAAGCCGATCCCTCTTCCTCTGGTGGAAACCTGATTTAGAGACATTCGTTAAAACAGATACTGCTTTGTTCAAGCAGAGGGTTTCTTTAAAAGCATCAAAGGTAGACAGCCAGCTCTGAACTCAGTGGGAGTCCTAGATTTTCATGCACAAAGCTCCCGAGATGAAGAATAGGGAGAGCAGAAGGCCTGAGATAACTCTTCACTCAAAGCCCAAATCCCACAGTTGACTTTGGGAGGCAAGAAAACTAACAGCAGCTACTATTCAGGGAGCTGGAGACAAAAGTGCATCGTTGGGGACTGGTAATTCCAAATTGTCAGGAAAGAGGGGGAAATGTTGGCCAAGATGCAAAACCGAAGGTAAGATACTGCCCAGAGCCAGAGGACCGAAACAGCCCCCTGTGGGCGCCATTTTAAAGAAGGGCTCCGGCATGGACACAGAAGTATGAAAGGCATCTCACTTTTATAACATGAAGTAAAATCTCTGACTACTCAGAAAACACCATACAAGGAAAAGTCAAGAATGTGTGCGTCAGGAAAACATTCCCTCTCAAATCTACTTTAATGCTTTCAGGGGATAAAATGGCCAACAAGAAACTAATGAAGGATTGTTTTTATTTAGACTCAAAAGCCTTTGACAAGATATCATTCCAAATTTAGCCATGTTGGACTCAGGAGGCTGCTTTATCGTGCAAAGGAACTGGCTTGCTAGACAGAAACACCACAAGGAACAATAGCTATCTTCCAGGGATGGAGGCTGTAGGGCATAAATGTCAGAAGAGCGACGCCACAGTGAAATCCCTAAATCCACAGATGATATTTAGCTCTTCTGGGTAAAGAAATTACCAGTCTGATTAGAACAAACCACTGAAAGATGGTAAACGAGTTTAATTCAAGGGAGTTTGTTTCTGAAAACAAATTTGAAATGTATAATAACGCAAATGTGTAAATTAACAAATTTCAAGTTATCTGTCATGAACCAAGGAGAAGGCCTGTATGACTCAGGAGAAGGAGTCGTTGTGGTAGGTACACGAGTCAGCACTGCAGAAGGGAGGTAATAACGTGACGTCATCCATAACCACTTTTGGTGGCGACTTCATGCCTGGCACTGTGCTGTGGGCTTCCTTTACAATAGGCTTAATTCTCGCAACAGTCCTGTGAATCAGGCATCATTATCTCCATTTGGATGTAAAGAAACTGAGGGTCAGGGAAACTGAGTACATGACCCAAAGTTAACATGGCTAGTAAGTGGTTGAGCCAGGATTTTAATCCAGGGACATCTCCTTTTATAGCCTGTACAGTCTCAGAAAGACAATTGGAAACTAAGAGAAAAGACAACGATAGAGATGTAGAGACAGATGATAGAAATATAGGAAAATAGACAGACAGATAGATAGAGTCAGAGTTATCTATATCCATGTCTACTTAGAAGTCCCTGGGTGATACATACAGTTAATGGGCTCAGCTACTAACTGAAAGATTGGAGGTTCAAGTCCACCCAGAGGTGCCTTGGAAAAAAGGCCTGGCAATCTACTTCCAAAAAACCAGCCATTGAAAGCCCCATGGAGCACAGTTCTACTCTGACACACGTGGGGCCGCCATGGGTTGGAGTCAACTCTCCTTATGCCCATGAGTTTCCGCACCCAGCACACCATGCGCCTCTGCTTCCTGAGCCTCAGGAAGACAGAGAAGGCACCAGGAAAGCCCCTGAAGCCACAGAGTCCAGGGTGAGGACATGTTCACGATGGAAAGATGACTGTTAAGCCATGAGGGACCGGGATGAGAGGAGAGTGCGCTTCGGTCTCCGTGTGCACCTGCTGTGTGCGGGCTTCATGCTAGAAGCCTCTGAGTGTTGCCTTGCTGAACCCTCAGAGAGCCCCTCCCCCACTCACGGGGGGCCCTAGGGCTTGGGAAGAGATGATTCACTCACACACCCAAATCAAGCATCCAGCAAATAATAAACCAAAGATTTAGACTGTGAGGCTCCTTCTGCTGCACCAAGGGTGAAGCCTAAGAAAAGAAAGCATCATCTTTTGACAGAACGTATAGTTCGTTATTCCCAAAAAGACACACTGGATGAAAAGAAGTTCCAGAACAATCTGTACAGATTCATAGACCAGAGGTCCGTGACAGGTTACTGAGTGAAGTTAGGGAAATCCAGGAGGGTTCTGATCTTCTAAGTTTAATTTCTTACAGGACAATGATCAGATGCTGTTGTGGCCTCTCCTTTGGTGTTTCTGCAAACTATAATCACACTGGGCTTGGGTCTGCTCTGGAAGGCAATTCTTGGGGAAATAGGACCTTTCAAGCTGGAGTCGTGAGGGCTGGCTCCACCCAGTCCAGCTCTGCTGCTCCCCAATGCAGGACACTCCAGGCTGGGCATACCCTCTCTGGGCTACTCCGGCTGCACCACCAGGGATCTGGGCCAGACAACCTTTGAGCTCCATGTGAGTCCGGCGCTCTGTGGACTCCTCAAACCCGGAGAGGCCTGACCTACTGTTTCCCACATGCCCCACCCCACAGCCTCTCCTTAACCAAAAAAAAAAAAAAACCAAACCAGTTGCAATTCCGACTCATAGCAACCCTATAGGACAGAATATAGCTGCCCCATCGGGTTTCCAAGGAGCAGTTCATGGATTTGAACTGCCTACCTTTTGGTTAGCAGCCAAACTCTTAACCATTGTGCCACCAGGGCTCCAAGCCTCTCCTTAGAGGGACTTCAATGAACCATTAAAGTGACTGATTGAAACAGCATCTTCCTGACAGATAATCTTAGAAATTCTGCATAGCAAAAGTCCAATCCCAGCTCTGCATTCCCACCTTCCATCCAGGCTCCCAGCCACATCCAGACGTCCCTGGCCACCAGCCAGCTTTGCTCTGGGTGCCCGGCACGGCCCACGCAGTTAGGAGCGTGGATCTGCCGGAACGATGAGAGCCAGAGCTAAGGAGCAATTATCTTTAGACGTGCTGTTTAGATGATCTGAGTTACCGCTCCCATCCACACGTCCTCCAGGCAAACGCCAGGGAGGGAAATCTGAGGACAGAGATGCTCAGGGAGCGAGGTCACTTCTGGGTGGGAGGTGGGAGACGTGGGATGAGGGACAGGGGTGTCTTATATGGAAAGGAATCTGGGCAGAAGTATAAATAAGGAAGCTGTGGGAAAGACTGTGGATTCAGGAGCTAAATCGCTTGGGTGCAAAGCCTGGCTTTCCCACTGACTAGCCACTTAACAATTCCTTTGAGCCTCAGTTTCCTCATCTGTGAGATGGTATAATAAGAATCCACCTGCCTCATCTGGTTGTCAACGGGATTAAAGGAGTTCGATTCATCAAGTTCTTAGGACTGTTTGCCCGGTGCTGTCTGTGGTTATGGTGAGCTGCCGTCCAGTCGATTTTGACTCATGGAGACCCTGTGCGTGCAGAGTAGAACCGCTCCGTAGCGTTTCAAGGCTGGGACCTTTCTGAAGCAGATTGCCAGGCCTGTCTTCCAACGGTGGGTTTGAACTGCCAATCTTTCAGCTAGTAGTTGATTGATTAATCATTTGCACCACCTGGGAACTCTCCAAGTGTCAGCTATTATTGTGAGGTCATTAGCCACCTGGAAGGGGAGGCAACCTGCCGTTCTGTCTCTGGGGCGCGGGCTCAGGCAGATCTTGCAATGGTTTCTTGCCTCCTTGCAGCATCTCCTGTGGGGCGGAGCTGGGCTGTGAATGGACTGAATCGTCACGGTTTCGCAAGTGTCTGTTCTCCCACCTCCTCCCAGAGAAAAGACACTTGCAGCATAGATTCCTGGAGTCCATGACAAATTCTCCTAAAACCTGTAAGTACAGCAGAAGTACTCCTTGAACTCTTTTGATTTAAAACCTCTCTGGCTGGCCTCACACAGCCTCATTCACCCGTGATGGGGCACCCTGATATGTCTCAGGTTTATCGTCACGGTGCCTGACACCTGTCCCTGCATTGCTGGGCAGCGAGAACATGATGGAAAAGAGCTGGGCTGTGTCTGTCTCCCTCCCGGCCCCCCTAAGGAGGTGAAGGGCGATCGAGGCTGAGCAGAGACAGTGGGGCGGGTGCCACCTCAGTCCCGTCACCTGCAGGGACGGCCCAGTCAGCCGGCTGCTCTCACATCCACACCTGCAGTGACAACACCCAGCAAGGAAGAAGCACGCGACACAGGTTTGTCACATTTGCTCAGCAGGCTGGATATTGGCCAAATTAAAACAAAAAGGTGTTGCAAAACAGGTGGGAACGATTCCACCCCCCTCAGACCCACCCCGAGTCCCCCTCCTCCTCCTCCTAACTTGTGTTTGAAGGTGCTCCCCTCAGACAACAAGGAGGAGCCTGGGTGACACTGACAGATACAGACCATCGGGATCCTCCCCTCAGGAAGGAGCCCAAGGTGGCAGGTCTTTCAGCTCATTTACCTTTACGCTCTGACCCGGCTTTACTGCCAGCGCTCTGCATGTTCAACAGCTAATGGACAAACTCTGCTTCCCGCATGGACTGTGAACAGCAGTTGAGAGTCACTGAGAGGAATTAATAGCACAGCCTACAATTAAAATTAATAAAAAGAGATAAGGAACTAAGAGGAGATGTCACTGATATGGATTTGAAAAAAGTCAAGCCTCCCCCTCCAGGCACATGGCCTCAAATTTCCTTCTCGGGAACTTTTCCCACTGGGACGTTTACCGGCACACTGCGGGCCTCTGAGCTGCTCCTGTTCTCTGCACGTCACCTACAAGTGAGTCACTGGTAACGCTCACAAAGGAACTGTGATGACGAGAATTTGGAATGTGCTGCTCCCCATGAAAGACGAGTTAGAGCAGACACACATGCCCTTCTCGTGTTGGCAGAGTGTTAATAAACACCTTAGGTACGGATTGTTCCAGATTGTTCCCAATGCGCAGAGTGACGCCCTTCCACCAACCACTCTCTGCAGCCAGGTATCTGCCCCGGGCCTGGCCAACAAAGCTTCTACTGAAGGCCAGGCGATATGGCTGATTGATTGGTGTCAAGCTTGTTCCCGGCCTCATCTGGGGCCACCGGGAGCCCTGGGTGGGGCCTGGGATGGAGACCTGGCCCTCACTGCCTGCGTACTTAGGCCCCCCGGGCGCTGGAGCTTTCTTTTCTCTGTAAACTAAGGAGGGTGTGTGCGATGACCTCTACGCAATTCCCCTGCATGAAGCCCCTGTGGTTTGGTGGCACCACAGAAAGCAACTCTGCCGTGGCCTTGAGGGAGGGGGAGAAGCAGAGACTGCAGACCCCTCCCTGCCTGGGAGCTGCCTGCCGCATACGTGACGCTTACCTGTAGGTGTTCAGGGCCCACGAAACAACTAGCATATGGAGGCCCGGAGCGCTGGCTGTAAGCTGGGCCAGGAGTGGGTGCATTCAAGGAACCGGAGCTGGCGTCCAGGTTCTTTGAAAGGAAGGTGTTGGGAGAGCGGCTATGGGAACCCCAGGTCCAGGAGGCAGGAACAATGCACCGTTTGTTTCCAGAAAAGTCCATCAGACTCCCCTCCTGGTGACGGGAAAACACTCAGCAAGGACTGCCCCCCTCTCTTCGCCCGTACTCCTCACACACCCTCTAATTCCGCTTGTGCCGTCTCTCTTCCCCCGCAGGCCCGGGCTGCTCCTACGGCACGTTCTTCCCCCCGGGGGTGGTGCCCGCATGGACGGTGCCCTCAACGCCAGCGCGCCCGGCTTCCTGCTGCAGGGCTTCTCCGAGTTCCCGCGCCTGCGGCCCGTTCTCTTCCTGCTGCTGCTGGCCGCGCACCTGGCCACGGTGGCCGGCAACCTGCTCATCCTGGCGGCCGTGGCCACAGCGCTGCGCCGCCTGCCCATGCTGCTCTTCCTGGGCCAGCTGTCGGCCATCGAGCTGGGCTACACGCTGGTGGTGGCGCCGCGCACCCTGGCTGACCTGGCGGCTCCAGGCCCCGCACGCGGCCAACCCATCTCGCGGGTAGCCTGCGCGGTGCAGATGCAGCTCTTCGTGGCGCTGGGAGGCACCGAGTGCTTCCTGCTGGCCGCCATGGCTTACGACCGCTACGTGGCCATCTGTCACCCTCTGCGCTACGCGGCCGTGGTGACGCCCGCGCTGTGCGCGCGCCTGGCACTGGCCTGCTGCCTTGGTGGCCTGGCCGTGTCGCTGGAGCTGGTGACCGGCGTCTTCCGCCTGCCCTTCTGCGGGCCGCGCCTGCTCGTGCACTTCTTTTGCGACATCACGGCGCTGCTGCACCTGGCCTGCACGCGTGGCTATGCGGACGAGCTGCCGCTGCTCGGCGCCTGCCTGCTGCTGCTGCTGCTGCCCGCCGCGCTCATCCTGGCCTCGTACGGTGCCCTGGTAGCCGCCCTGCGCCGCCTACGAGCGCCCAGGGGCCGCCGGAAGGCCGCTGCCACCTGCGCCTCGCACCTGGCCGTCACCTTCCTGCACTACGGCTGCGCCACCTTCATGTACGTGCGGCCCAAGACCGCCTACGCACCGCGGCTCGACCGCACGCTGGCGCTCGTCTACACCAGCGTCACGCCGCTGCTCTACCCGCTCATCTACAGCCTGCGCAACCGCGAGGTCACCGCCGGCCTCCGCAGGGCACTAGCGTGGCGGCAGACGGGCCAGGCGCTGGGCAAGCCTTGACAGCAGCCGGGGACTGCCAGAGATGCAACTCTGCTCCCCAGGCTACCCCATCGCGGGACCGATTCAGGAAAGGGGACAAGGCCAGCTTCCCAGTAGTGGCCCCATCCTTCCCGCCTTCCTTGAAGAATGGCCAAAGACAGCGGGTGGTAGACCCCGAGACCTGGATTTAGAGACTCAATAAACACCTGCCGAGTTCCTCCTCTGTACTGGGGCCGCTGCTAGGCCCCGAGGTTGCATTGGAGAAGGAGGCGAACTCCCGAACTTCAGGAGCTCACAGTCTAGACGGACGGCTGGGAGGAGTGAACGCCGAGCCTCTCGAGGGCCGGAGGGAGGGCTCACAGGACGGTCTACCCATTTGGGACTTTGTGTGCGGAGTAGGGGACAGGAAACTTCTTGGGGGAGGGGGAGACATCTAAGAGCAGAACTGGAGGGCAAGTAGGAATCACTAGGGCGGAGGAAGGGTGAAGAATGCTCTGAGCAGAAGCTGCTAGGCAGGGGCCAGATTGGATGGCCAGGTCACCAGTGGGAGGACTTGGATCCTTGCAGTGATGGGATGGCTCTGGTTGCAGTCAGGAGAAGAGGCCAAGGGGCAGGCGGGGTGCCACGCCAGAGGCTGGAGGCCAGTGAGATGTGCAGGAGGTGGGAACAACAGGACCCTGGCTGGATCCGGGAGAGGGAGAAAGAGGGGTGCGTTAGTGTTTTGTGGCTTCCATATCAAAGGACCACGAACTGGGTGGCCTAGACGAAACTTATTCTCTCAGTGTTGGAGCCTAGAAGTCCGAAATCAAGGTGTTGGCAGGACCTCTCTCCCTCTGAAGCCTCTAGGGGGAGCTCCTTCCTTGCCTCGTCCAGATCCTGGTGGTCCCAGGAGTTCCTTACCTTGGGGCAGCATCTCTCCAATCTCTGCCTCCATCTTCAGGTGGCCATCTTCCCTCTGTGTCTCTCTGTGTCTTCTTGGTGTAAAGACACCAGTCATGTTGGCCCACCCTACTCCAGCATGACCTCATCTGAACTTCATTACATCTGCAAAGACTCTGTTTTCCAAATAAGGTCACATTCACAAGTACCAGGGGTTAGGACTTGAACATATCCTTATGGGGACAGAAACGAACCATAACAAGGAGCAGGTCTCCCACATGGAAGGCGAAAATTCAACCACTGAGCCACCACTACCCTTTTAGCCCCTGTGTCAGCAGGGGAGTGACATGTTCCAGTTTGAAGACTCTGGCTACAGCGTGGAGAGTGGATCAGAGTGGGACATGACAGACAGTACATTCATTAGGAAACCAGTGAGGATAGAGACAGTGGTGGCCATTTGGGGAAGTGGCAGTGGGAGAAGGGAGAGATGGACAGGTGGGAGAAATAGCCAGAAGGTAGACGTAACAGAACTTGGTGCACATTGCGTTGTGGGGATAACAGAGGAGTTGCGGATGATATGGCCCACAGGGCTCACTGAGATGTAGCGCACAGGAAGAGAATCTGGTCTGAGGGGAGGGCAGGTGGAGACAACAAGGTCAGCATTGACTGTGTTGACACGGGTATGAGATAAATAGTCGGCACTTGGATATGTCAGAAGACTTGGGGCTAGAGAAATGTTATTTGGCTATGGCCAGCATATGAGCGGTGATTGGCATGGCTGAGATGACCCACAGAGAGTGGTAAGGGTTAGAGAAGAAGCAGTTCCGAGATAGGACCCCAAGGAAAACTCACTCTGAAGGATGGGCTGACTTCCTAAGCCTGACACAAAGCGCTAAAAAAACCCAAAACCAAACCTGTTGCCATTCAGTCGATTCTGACTCATAGAGACCCTATAGGGGTCCCATAAGGTTTTCAAGGAGCAGCTGGTGGATTCGAACTGCCTACCTTTTGGTTAACAGCCATAGCTCTTAACCACTGCGCCACCAGGACAGAAAGCACAGCATTCGTTAATTATATGAAAAAAACCAAAGCTTTCTGTATGGGACACTACCTTGAACAAAATGAAAAGAGAAAAAAAAACAAGCTCGGAAAACATATCTAATGTATAGAAAGGCTGATTTCACTAATATATAAAGAGCTCTTTCCAATCAATAAGAAAAGGACTAACGACCCAAAAGGGAAATGAGCAAAGGATATGAATAGATTGTTCACAGAAAAAGAAAATATTAACGGTCTTAAATCATAGGGGAAGAGTTTCAATCTCACTTATAGTAAGAGAAATGTAAGATAAATTTACAAAATGTCATCTTATCAGACTGACAACACTCAAAAAGATGAGTAACACATGGCTGGAAGGGTAAAACAGGCACGCTCATGCTCGTACATTGTTGGTGAGAATATGCATGTTGACTACCTCCATGGAGGGCAATTGGGTAATGTTTACTAAAATTAAAGGCATGTTTTATTTGTTCCAATGGTTCTACTTCAAGGGTTTGATGCTACAAATTTACTTGGCTTGTGGGGAAATATGTATGTTCCAAAATATTAATGTCAGCATTGCTTGGATTAGCAAATTTAGATAAGACGTGTCTTAAATATCAATCAACACGTGACTGATTAATTGCATTTTGGTTTTTCCTATAACGGACTGTTGTGCTGCCATCCAAAAGAATGGAGCAGTTTTATATGTGGCATGTATGGGGCTACCTCACATAAATGTGGTTATGTGAGAAAAGCAAGGCACATAATGGCATCACTAAGGAGTCATCCAGGATTCCACTCCTCTCTTCAGACACATCTGGCCTTTGCACTTGTGATTTCCATTCTGGAATGTTCTCCCATAGATCTTCACAGGCTGGCCTCTTGCTATCTGATGTTGTCTCAAGTCAAACATTGACCCCTGGCAGGGAGGCCTTCACTGATCACCTATAACTGCCTTTTCCTGTCTGCTGTCACACTATCACACTATCTTTTCTGCTCATCTCTCATTATTTGAACCATCTTGTTTATGCGCTTCTTCACGTTTTAATTGCCCATTCCTCCCAACAGAACAGAGACTCTAGGAAGTCTCTTTACTTACCACAGTATTCCCATGTCCTAACGGTACCTGGAAGGTAGTAGTTACTCCATAAATTGTTGAATAGTGAATGACCAAATAAATGTTTATGGTATTGTCTGACCCCCCGCCTCACAGGAAGCAGCCTTGGGCTCTTGATCTTGATTCTCCTTCCTCCTTGTGAAGTTAGAGGAGGTCAGACACTGTCCCCATGCCATGTTTACAGGTATGCTAGCATTTGTATATAAAACACGCAGAATAGAATGTATGTGTATGTATGCGCATGTGTGTGTGCCTGTGTGTGTCCTGTGTGTATTGTATACACACACACACACCTTTGTAACCGAATTAAAAGTCTGGGGCCTGGGGGGCAGAGGTGGGACAGATCTCTGCTTTTACTCCAAGCTTTTACAGCGAGCTGGCCAGAGGCATCCTTTCTTCCTGGTACTTGGAGTCAGCAGCAGAATCCTCTATCATGAGATTCATGGATTGAATTGTGTCCCCCAAAAAATGTGGGTATCAGTTTGACTAGGCCATGATTCCCAATGTTGTGTGGTTGTCCTCCATTTTGTGATTGTAATTTTACATTAAAGAGGATTAGGGTGGGATTGTAACACCACCCTAACCCAGGTCACATCCCTGATCCAATGTAAAGGGAGTTTCCCTGGGGTGTGGCCTGCACCACCTTTTATCTCTTGTAATCCAGGCACCATCTAGTTCTTCTGGTCTCAGGCTGATGGAGTCTCTGGTTTATGTGGCCCTTTCTGTCTCTTGGGCTAATATTTCCCTTGTGTCTTTGGTGTTCTTCATTCTCCTTTGCTCCAGGTAAGAGATAAAAAGGAAAGGGAAGCAAGTGGAGAGTGGGGGACCTCATACCACCAAGAAAGAAGCACTGGGAGCAGAGCGTGTCCTTTGGACCCGAGGTTGCTGCACAGAGAAGCTCCTAGTCTGGGGGAAGATGACGAGGACCTTTCTCCAGAGCCGACAGAGAGAGGAAGCCTTCCCCTGGAGCTGACGCCATGAATTTGGACTTCTAGCCTACTAGACTGTGAGAAAATAAATTTCTCTTTGTGAAAGCCATCCACTTGTGGTATTTCTGTTGTAACAGCACTAGATGACTAAGACAATGAGTAAGGGCAGAATTTCATCATTTACGCTCTTGATGGGGAGCGCTGATGATCAGGCAATGCCAAGAACAGAGTCCAGGGTCTGAGAGACAGTGATAGGGAGGGAGACGGAGGTTGGAATCAGGAAGACAAGGCACGGAGAGCAAAGCAGAAGCATCATCAGTGAGCATCAACGCTGGAAGACCAGATGGATGGGAGGAGAGGCAAGCCTGGAATCTGGATGAGTTTCCCCTCGCTGCTCTAACAAACTACCACAAACTTAGTGACTTAAAACAGCACAAAATCATCCTCTTACAGTTCTGGAGGTCGGAAGTTTAAAATCAGTTTTACTGGGCTACAGACAAAGATGTCGGCAAGGCAGGTTCCTTTTGGAGGCTTCAGGGGAGATTCTGTTTCCTGGCTTTTCTTGGCTCTTAGTGGCTGCTGACATTCCTTGGCTGGTGGTCCCTTCCTCCTTTCACTCCAACCGCTAGCTCCTATCATCACATCTCCTACTACTCACTCTGACCACCGGCCTCCCTCTGACAAGGGCCCATGTGATGATATTGGGTTCACCAGCATAGCCCAGGCTAATCTCCTATCTCAAGGTCTTTAACACGGTCACATCTGCAAAGATCCTTTTGCCATATTGGGTAACATTCACAGGTTCTAGGGAGTTGGAGGACGTGGATATATTTGAGGGCCAGTCAACCACAGCATTCAAAATATTAAGGCAGAATTGAGGCAAAGGTTAGGCCTGGAAGTCAGCTGGGGCCCTAGAGACAAAAGCAAGCCACTTCCTTATCTGAAAGCCACAGAGCAAACCGCATCTCAGAGCATCAGGAAACACCCGCTAGGCACAGCTCTGCTCCTGTGGGTACTGCGGACTCATCACTCTGCTCAGTTGGGTCATGGGAAAGTTCCTGGCAGCAAGGAGACCCTGTGGCTTTTTCTGCTGACCCCATGGGTAGAACTCAAGACTTCAGAGCATGGAGAGACCTTGGCGCTCGCCTGTCGGAACCACTTCACTATAAGGAGGAGGAGATGAGGATAGATTTGACATCAGACGCACCAGTCCTCAGCTCCGCCTGCCCCTCTTCCTGTTTTCTAGCTCTGGCCAGGTGTCATCTAGTCATCTAGTGCTGTTCTAACAGAAATGCCACAAGCGGATGGCTTTAACAAACAGAAATTTATTCTCTCACAGTCTAGGAAGCTAGAAGTCCAAATTCAGAGTGCCAACCAGGGCAAGTTTTTCTCTTTCTGTTGGCTCTAGGGGAAGGTCCTTGTCATCAACCTTCCCCAGCTGAGGAGCTTGTCAGTGCAGGGACCCTGGGTCCAAAGGACTTGCTGTTCTCCTGGCTCTTGTTTCTTGGTGGTATGAGGTCCCTCTGTCTCTCCGTTCACTTCTCTCTTTTATATCTCAAAAGAGATTGACTCAAAATACAACCGAATCTTGTAGGTTGAGTCCTTCCTCATTAACATAACTGCCTCTAATTCTGCCTCATTAACATCATAGAGGTAGAATTTACAACACACAGGAAAATCACATCAGATGACAAAATGGTGAACAATCATACAATACTGGGAATCGTGGCCTAGCCAAGTTGACACACATTTTGGGGGGACACAACTCAATCCTTACCGCCAGGTCTGTGCCAGCCCCACAGAGTTGCCGTGAATTTGACAGAGCCCTTTCTCCTCCTCTCTCACTCCCTAGGGCATAGAAAGTGCCCCAGCCCCCTTAGTACATACCAAGCTAAGGGAACCAAGAAGGGCCTTTCAAAAAGAACCAAACAGACCCTTTAAGCATAATATTACAGGTGCCTTTTGCTTCATGACCCAATCTGATTGTCACA